TGAAGTGCACCCCACTAAAATAATATTTAGCAGTTTAGGACCCCAACAATGTTTAAGTTTTAAAACTGCAATGTGACAGCAGTATTTGACGATTCTATTTGACTCTCAGATATGAATTGCACCCCACTAATGTATTACCCCACTAATGTACTATTTAGCATAAAAAAAATATTACTTTTTAAAACTTTGATGTAACCATGGTATTTAAAGCTTCTATTTGACTCTCAGAGATGAAGTGCACCCCACCCCACCCCACTAATGTACTAGTTTGCAGAATTTTTTCCTAAGCTGTCCCTATCAGCGGCAGCATCCTCTCCTTACACTAATAAGACCGCATGTGCGTGCGGCGCTACGCGACTCCAGCTTATATATAGAGGCTGTGTCACATGCTGCACTGGCCAATCACAGCCATGCCATTAGTATGCATGGCTGTGATGGCTTCTAAGGGCACACGAGTCAAACGCTTGTTGATTGGCTGCCCTGCAGCCTTTCAAAACGCACCATTAAATTGCCGAACACCGAACTCCAACCCGAACATACAGTGATATGTCTGTGTTCGGACATAGTTTGATATGGTTATAAGCCAGAAAGAAATATAATATTTGAGCCTGCAACCATAGTTTGATATGGTTATATGCAAAATCATATTTATTTTTTCTGTGTTAAAATGTGTAATGTTTCTAAATGTGGATTTCTGATCATTTAAGAAACAATTTGAAATTATTTAATGATATCAAATTCCAATTAGCTGTTTGTTACTTGTTTATCTTTTTGGCAGTTACATTGAATGAGAAAATATCAGTAATGCTAGCTTTCTAAAGGAATGCTATATCATGTTGTTACAAGGCCACAACAATTCCTCTGGAGGCTTTAAATGCATCATGAATGAACATTAAACAAAATGGAATTGGTGATAAAACCAGGATTTTTTTCTTTGAAGGTTATCAAAGGAAATATAGTGTATATTCATGTTCAATATTAATATTTTTGATAGAAATACTGTATGAAATTTCCGATGTCATAAAACGCAGAGCAAAATCAAAATACTGAAAAATGACATGAGATGCACTATTGAGAGATATGAAATTATATATATTTTTTAAAACATATTTAATTCTTTATTATAATTTTCTTCTTTTTACATTGTGCAAACATTTACATACAAAATTACATATTATATTCTATTAAGTGTTCCATACTCTATACATAATGACATTCTTTTTCTTTCCTCTTTTCTGTCTATTCTCTTTCTCTTCCTTCCTTTTTAAGTTTCAGTTATACTTTTGCCTTTTCGGTTTTTACATCATTATATCGCTATGTTATAGTATCGAGTGTAACTATACACACACAAACACACACACACTTAAACATAGACAGCATAATGAAAAAAACAACAACAAAAAGTGAACAGAACAACATTATATATTAACGTTATTTCTTTGCTATATACCTCTTTGTCTTTCTATCTCTCCTTTAATCTTTTTAACCCATTTTATCCAACTTTGATTATTGTTGTTTTGTATGTTAAAATATCTGTTTATACCTTGTTCCATTCGACATTGATTTTTTATTCTTGTCCTTTTTTTATATCATATTTGGTGGATTTATATCTTTCCAATGTCTTGCTACACTTAATTTTATAGCTAGTAGTATGTGGATTAAAACATTTTTCTTATCTTTATCTTTTGCCAGCCTAGATGGAGAAGTGCTGAAGGAGGAGAGAATGGTAATTTGACTTGAGTCCATTCTTCTATCCATTTAAAAATGTTAGTCCATATCAGTCATATTTTAAAGCATGACCACCAAATATGTGTGCAGTCAGCTCTTGTGGCTTCACATCTCCAGCATGTTGGTTGACAATTTAGGAACATTCTAGATAATTTTAGTGGATCGTAGTACCAAAACATATGGTAAAACTAGAATCCCAGGCACACATAAGTGCCAGTACCAGGAATCTGCCACAGAAGCAGAGAAATGAGAACTAAAACAGAAAAAGGATACAAACATAATAAAGCAGGTTAGATAAGGAGATAGAAAAAATTAAAGAGTATATAAGAAGAGTGAGATAGAATAAAATCATGAAAACAATATAGAAAAAAATACAAAATAATATATAATAAAGTAAAATAAAATAATATAAAAAATATAAAAATTAATAATAAATAAAAATAAAAAATGAACAAGAAAAGATAAAAAATAAGAAAAATAAGAAAATAAAATAAAGAAATCGAAAAAAAAATAATAAGTAATAAATAATAATATAACATTAAAAAATAAATTAATAAATATAAAAAAATAGGTATAAAAATAGCAAATGAATAATGAAAATATATATAAAAAAAATCGAAAAAAATAATAAAAATATAGAAATAAAAAAAATAGAGATGAAAGAGGAGAGCACAAAAAAGAACAGCCAAGTACTAAATGCCGACATCAATACCAAAAGGGTAAACAATGTACACATGATCATTAACATACAGCAGTAAATGGTTTTTTATACATATATCAATAAATGAGTGTGGAAACAGTACATCTAAGCATATACTAGATAATGTAATATAAAATAATAGCATTAAAAAGAGACCTGAATAAGGCTGAGATAAAGAATCAAAAAAAAGAAAAGAGAGAGATCCTAGGACAAAATGTCCAGGATGCACAGGTTAGATATCTCAGAGTGGACTGTTACTAATAAAAAACATAAATTTTAATCATCATAAACATAAACCAAAAAATATGGGATTATGTGTGTGTTTTTTTTTATTTTTTGGTTTATGTTTATGATGATTAAAATGTATGGTTTTTATTAGTAACAGTCCACTCTGAGAAATCTAACCTGTGTATCCTGGACATTTTGGCCTAGGATCTCTCTTTTCTTTTTTCTTGTAAATGTATATTTAGGGTTACCCCCTTTCTGGATATATTCAGGGCACACTTTATAGTCCCTATTTTGGGGCTATTTCTGCTTTTTTCTTTAGATAAAGAATCAAAGATTACCTTTTGAGATTCTGACATTCCTTTGTAAAAAGAATATATAAGAAACAAAAAAGTGTATAGCATAAAATATAAGTGTGACATAATATTCTAAAGTCTCAAATTGAACAGTATCCTAAAGAAGGAAAAGTAATTTTAGAGCCAAAATGTAAGGAGACTCATACTAAAAAGTGTATTAATAATATAAGATTAGTACTATATTTACATATACCACGTAAAGGGCATGATTCATAAAAGTGCATAAATTCAATAAAGTGCATAGATTCAATAAAGTGCGTAATATAACAAAGTGCTGTAATCTAATGAAGTGCTACAATCAGGTGCAATGGATGGGTTAGTGCACGTGAAGAAGAATTTTCTTCATACCATCCAATCTATTACAAAAAAGTAATATCAAAACATTATTAAACTAGAGGTTATAAATAATACATTTCTTATATGTATACAACAAATTGTTTCTATATTATAAAGCACATAATACAATGAGTGAAAAGGAATGTGTGGATATAAAAAGATCTCAATTAGAATATCAGCATATCTGGAAATTCGTGATACCCAACAGATGGTCTAAAGAAGGTCTCTTGAGAGGGTGAGAGTGGAAACCAGCAAGGTCGCCATCTAGCCTGTGAAAAAATAAAAATTAATGTTTAACAGAATATTGTTAAAAACAAATAAGATAAATAAAAACATAATATTCAGATTAAAGGTAGTAAATCATATTCCCGATTAAGTTATTTGGTGATAGTGTATCCAATTCTCTGATCCAAAACGCTTCCCTCATTAGTAATTTTTTAATCCTATCCCCCCTCCTCAGAGTTTCAGGGACATGTTCTATAATTTGAAATTTCAACTGAGAGATATTGTGTTGCGTTTCAGAAAAGTGAAATGGTAGAGGCAGATCAGTCATTTTGGTACGTATAGTGGATTTATGTTTAGAAAACCTCTCTTTCATTTTTTGTGAGGTCTGTCCTACATACAAAAAACCACAAGGACATTTGAGTATATAAACTTCATAGGAAGAATTGCACGTCACAAAATATTTTAAAAGGTATTTTTACCATTATGTGGATGGTAAAGACATTGGCCTTGTATCATAGAATGACATGCTACACAGCCATAACATGGTAAATTACCCTTTTTGGTCATCTCAGGTTTGATAAGTGGTAATTTTGCTCTCACCAATTTGTCTTTCAAAGAGGGACATCTTTTGTAGGCAATCATAGGTCTCGTAGTAAATTCAGGGACATCGGGATGGCATTCAGATAGAATATGCCAGTGTTTGAAAATAATTATTGAGTGGCTGATAGTCTCCCAAATCTAGAAATACATTTTATTCTACGGTCTTTATCATCTTTCTGTCTTGGAAGTAGACACTAATCTCTGCTCTTATTCTAGACTTGACCCAGCTGTTCCGTCAGGAGAGCTCTAGAATAACCACGTTTTTGGAATCTCTCCACCATATTGTTTAATTGAGCATCAACTTTATTAGTGTCCGAAACCAACCTTTTGACCCTCAATTTTTTTTTTTAATTTATACAGATTATATGGGGTTTGCTGACCTATGCTCAGTGTACCCTGTGTTAAACTCTGTGATTGAGTGTAACCCTCCTTTTCCTCTTGTAACAAGAGGGAAGACATTAATCTCAATCAAAGAGGTATACAGTATATCACAGATGCTGCATTATTTTATGTTAAGAAACAATCAATGCTTAGAGGGCCTGCCTGAATGTGAGACAAGGTACGTGCTTCAAAAACAGAAACAAACATCTGACAGGCTCATAGACTACCATAAAGCAATAGAGTAGGAGTAAAAACAGGCTAGTAGCTTAAGAGTAATATTTCATCCTGGGGACCCCACCGGCCATACAATAAACAGAGTCCTCTTAAACATTAGGCTAGATAAACGCAATAAGAGAGCGCAAAAAATAAAAACTCATTTTTTTTTGTGAAATCATACTGAGATGGAGCATGGTGGAGGCAGAAATTACATTCATATTATGAGTCTTGAATTAGCCGTCCCCCTCCAGTGTCAAATGGCAGTCACAATGTGGGCTAACTGCATATTTGCACCCTGAAATCCATGCCTGCAGGTTCGGTGTACATGCATGATGGTAAGTAAAGTAAGGTGATGGCAGCGGTGTCTCCAGCTGCAGGCCAGGTTTTAGGACTACTGCCCGATCCAGAAGGCAAGGGCAGAGCCCTCCGCTGTGCGACTCGCAGACCCCCTTCTCATGTGGCGTTGACTGCTTCCACTTGTCCCGGGCCCTTTCTTCAGCTTCAACTGTCTGAGTTTGCTCAGACATGGACGCTGATCTCCGAATAAGGTGTCCACTCTCCTGCCTTCCTTCTGGCAGATGCAAATGTTGTTCTAGCCTGGTCCAGAAGTCCACAAAGATCTGGTCAAGGCTACTGGTAGGTGCAACTCACTCACTGCTGTGTGCTGTTTGACTTGAGGTGTCCACCATTTTAGGATGTGGGTTCCCGTTCTGCTTGAAGATAATAGAAACTTTAAGTTGCAGGCTGGTCCCCAAAGCAAGGACCGGGATCACCCCCCGTGCAGGATAAGATAGTGGAGTAGCAGCTGTCCACGCCACCATTTAAGTAGGCCTCAGCTACCGCAGTGTCAAGGCACCTTTCAAGGGGCCAGATTATGAAAGTTGTAGCTTCGGTACCAGCACCTATGTGCACGCAGGGCCGCTGCTTTCAGGCTGCAGACAATCAGTAAGATCGATTATTTTAGACATAGTTATCTGGAAACTGCAGGAGCTGTTCGTCCATGCGACCTTCCAGCATGGCGGTCCGGCCCCGCCCCCCCTCCAGTACTTTTTTTTTTTTATATCGAAAAACCACCTATTCTATTATAAAACAGAATAAACAACTATATTTCAAAATTTGCAGAAAAGGGCATTTATGAAATTCATACTTAAAAGTTTTAAATTGTTCAAGTAAGCAGAGGTTACAAACCCATAGAGCAAAGTCATTATTAAAATATGCCTGTCAGAAAAAGAAAAAAAGTAACGATGCAATCCCAATTGTAGATTCAGTATCTATCTGAGATCATGAAGAAGATCTAAATTGTTTATAAATGAGAAACATAGAAACATAGAACCCTTATATAGACGTGTAATGCTAATACAATTCTCTACATAGGATAATTATGCCATTCAAATTATGCTACTTTAAACAAGGTGTTAATAAATAACCACTTAATGATCTAGTCATTGCGCTGAAGTAACATTTAAAATTAAACTTCTAATGTGAATATAACTTAAAATGTAAAGCTAATAAGAAAACAAAATATGTAACATATAAAATACTTTGCTTTTTACAGGACAAATGTGATTTTCTGGGACCTAAAGAATACCGTGGGGGAAGATGACTTACTTTTTTTTGTTAAACTACCTGCAAGTGTTTATTTTTTTCATCAGTACAGGTATGTAAGAAAATGCAATTTACAGAGAAAGATAACTTGCATACATTATTTTTTTAATTCGATTTAGTGGTGGTGTCCCCAATCATCTCTTTTTTTGGCACCATGGATGGAACACTGAATCACAAAGCAAACATACGTATTTGTCGACTCTCCATATAATTTTTCAGTGATACATTTATACGGCACTTATGAGTTATGGAATTTAGGCAACCCTGTGATGGGCCATGATTAAAAACTGTTTGAAACTGAATAAACAAGTCTAGTTTGCAATATTCATGTACAAAGCAAAGAGAGGGTGGACATAAATATGTAAACATTTAACTGAAATTTTGGATCAATGAATAGGGCTGTGCATTGTTGTGACCTGTGGGAAGGAGAGTGAAACTGGAGTAGGATTAATCAAACTGGCACTTCAGCATTTCCTGACTTGCATCTGTTGCTTACCCAAATAATCTCTTCTAGGTGTACTACAGGATGTCTGGTACTAAGATGTCTTGGAACACTTTTTTGGGAACAGTGGTTATGGAGCTTAGAATGTCAAATGAAATTGGCCTGAATGTAAGGCTGACAGCTAATGTGTGAACCTGCTGGAGAAACAATAGCTCCTAACTTGGATGACTGGAAATAGCTCTCCCACGATCCATTAAATCATACTGAGATTTATATATATGTTTCAGGAAGTTGAAATCTACTAGCATCCTAAACATAGCAATATCTGGTGATCTAAAATAGAAAAATGCAAAAATGTATTGATGAAGGAACAAAAAAAATAATGGTACAAACCAGCAAAAAAAGGCCTTGTCTAAATAGGAGTAAACCCTGTATCTGCATATGGGCTGATCTAGACACTGCCACGGGGCTAATAAAAATCCCTAACCCAACTATGTAAAATGTGAAAGATACATTTTCTTTTTTTCTGACGGCCTATTTCTTCTATCATTATTAACCTTTAAAAGGGGAAACATTCTAACAAACAGTCTATTGACTCATATTTCAGTCTAGGCATTGCATCCTCATCAGGGGAAACATATGTTTTAGCATTTAAATGCCTACACAGTTCCATTGTAGCAACTGACTGCTCTACCTTTAACTTTTGAAAAAAAGTGATACATTATCAATAAATGCAAATCACTGAATGTGAATGTTTCAAGCTCAACACCTAGCATCAGCTAGCATCAATTCGGACAGTGAAATGCATAGGATTGTAGATGAATTATCTCATACCTGCCTATATATAAAGAACAAAACATTGAAAATGTGATGACAAAAAAAAAAAGATTAAAAACGTATTGATATTTTGCACAAATAGACTCATTGTCATCTCATTTTCAGCATATAACAATGACGCTTTAAATTATTGAATTATTATGGAGAATAAACAACGAGAAAGCTACACTTTACTACACCCACTGCAGACTCAGCAATGAAGCCATGCCAAGTGACTGTGCTGTATCTTTAGTATTGCAGGCTGATTGGCAGCTCTGCAGAGTTGACTCAGTTAACATGCAAAGAAAATACCAGTAGGGATCAAATCAGAAGAGAAAGGACAGGATGTCTGGCTCTTTGTTTTGTATGGTTTGCCAGCCGAGGGAACATTGTTATAGAAAAGGCACTGGTGTGTGTGAAGAAACACAAGAACAGTAAGGAACAAGAATTGTTCTGAAATGTGAAATTTGTATGTTGTAAGAAAGGTGTTTGTTTTAGTCTTATGGATCTTGTTTGTAAGCAAAATATGACTACATGAATCGGCAAAAAAAAAAATATTAAGAAAATGTGTGCTTGCAGTGCTCAGCAGTTGGTCTTTTATATTTCTCTGGAAAACAAATCAGAAATATAACCACACACACACACAAGCATGCCATCAGGTGTACAACAGGCTGTGTTGCTGTAACTTGGTAAAGAATTAAATTTTACTTGAAAAGGATTATCAAAGTAACACGTTTGATAACATAAGCTCATTTGCATTTTGCATAAGCTCATGTTTCGGTGTGGAAGTGCACACAACCAAAAATGTTGAATAAAAAAACATAAACATTAAAACACTGATGGAACAGTGTAAGAAAATTGCACGTGTGAAAATCACCATGGATCCCCACCCCAGAAATAATGATGTTTGGTCTCAATTGCAAGTATACCTCAAGTGAAGAATGCCAGTAGGAGAACTTCATTTATCTCTATATAGTATGGCAATTGCAGCCACTGCCTAGTTCTGCTAGTTCTGATAAAGGTACCCTGGATACAGTATAAACACTGTTGCCCATGCCTCAAAGCAGTATCATGCGTACAATCCCTTTAGAAATGTTTCTCTATCCAGATCCTACATATTGATGGGTGACCTATCAAATCCAGATCAGTGACATAAGAGACTGCTTCCTTTTCTATAAATTAAAATGATGTAAAGTTCCTCACATTCCCGTTGGGTTAGTAAGAATTTAATAAATATGAAAAAAAAACACACAGAAGTTACTCCAGTTTGATATTGCCACGGTTGTCAATTATATTATAGTTCACAACTCCCCCATTCAGATTTTGGGAGAGAAATAAGGTATAGGGAGTTGATAAATGAAGATCATTTGCATGGAGCAACATTTTATGGTTTGTGTATCACATGCAATAGCCATTAATAACTATGTTTGCTCTGATTACATTTAGAAATGGTTAACGGACCAGAATAAATAGTAACAGGGAGATTGAGGAACCTAATCTGATAATGACTTGCTTTGGATTGTAGAGTACAGTGATGGTCACAGTGTTAGACCACCTAAGTGACTACTTAAGGTCATTATAACAAAGTACCTTTTAAGGGAACAGTGAACAATGTTTCCCCTTCCTGGCCTAGGTAAGCAATATACTTTATATATATGTATGTGTGGTGTGGGAATAAGGGCAGTGGTTTGTGAAGTGGAAATTGAGGCAGTAGTGTGAAGAGGGTGGTGGCATTAGGTTAAGTATTAAAAAAATTAAAACAAATGTAATACTTAACCTAATGCCACCACCCCCTCACACCACTGCCTCTATTTCCGCTTCACAAACCACAGCCCCTATTCCCACACTCCACATACTACAGTCAGTAACCCGCACTACAACTCCTATCTCCCTACAATTACTAGCCCCTATTTTATACATCATACATAATACAGCCCCAATATTCCCTTGTGTACAAGTTCCAGCCCACACACTACAGCCTCTATCTGTAGCACACACAGGCTGCAACACATATTACCCTCCACCCTCACTACAGCAGTGCCTATCTCCCATCTTCACACACTAAAGCTCATATCTATACACACAATACAATACAATACAATACAATTCTAGTGACAAGGTTTAAGGATCTTGATGTACAAGATGTGATTGTTGGGACTCAGGATAAAGTAATGTGATTGGGGTTGGAGATGATTAGTAGATTATGAGGCTATGGGTAATAAGGGGATGACAGAATTTTAGTGGCTATGAGGCAAGTACACACAGATATCATGCACGTCACACAGAGCTAACACTACTATGGTTTGCTTCTTCCACCTCACAACCTGTTCCATTGCTCCTATTCCCTCAAAACTTATTAGTAATATGTCACTTTCTCTTGCTCTTTCTCTCACTAAAATATTTAATATTTCCTCATCTGGTATAGTTCCTGCAATCTTTAAGCATGCAACCATAACCATAACCCCAATTCTAAAAAAAGGCCAACCTTGACCAAACTCATCAAACAACTACCACCCTCTACCATTTCCCTCCAAGATCCCTGAGAGAGTTTGTTTGCAAACTAATTTTCTCTAAAACTGTATAAATGTAAAGGTTTTGGTTATGATTTCTGACCAGTGACACTATCAAAATTGAATTTTACAAAATGGCTTCAGTCTGTAGTTAAGCCCATGCAATGCATCAGTATTGATTTTTCATTGAGGGTTTCCATCAAAGTGGCAATCTGACCAGAATTAAAATTTATAATGACCAGAATTAAAATTTATAATAACTTTATTTCTTTTATTTTAGCTGTTTTTATCTTTGATAAATGCACCAATGACATGAAACCTCTCTCTCTTCTAGGAAGCTGAAATACTAAGAGTCAATCATGACTGCATAAGATGTAGTCAATTAGCAACCTGTTTGCCAGCTTTGCTTAACACATTGCCTATGTACTTTTCCACCAATAGCGGTAGATCATAATTAGGAATAGTTTATTGCTTCACTGAAAGAGTATTTTTGAAGCAGACTATAATCTGTTATGATTTTAACTATTCAGGTGACAGCAATTATAAAATATAGCAGCAGTTTGTTTTTGTCAGACACCTGTGAATAAAGGCGATCATTTTAAATGTTTCTAATTTGACTTCTTTTTTCAGTTTGCACCTGACTGAGCACTGAGCGATCTCTGTTTGCAAATGTATTTCAGTGTTCCTATTGTGAGCACTGCAGCTCCACATGGGAAATGGCTATACCTGAGGTTGTAATTTGTTTCCAGGTGTCTTTTATGCATGATGAGATGATTTGAAATGAAACTTTGGCAGTTTTAATTTAAAAAAAAAAAAAAAAGAATAAAAAACTAGACTATGCTTGAGAGGAACTGGATAGAATGCAGAACACAAAATTAATGAATGAGTTAAATACAGTTTCTCAAAGTCTGGATAAAAAAGGATGAAAGTGATATGCTCCGAAGTGAATGTGAATCTTACATTTTTATTGTGAGTCTTTCTGAATATTGTAAATAATAGTATGTTTTAAATACAGATAATTAGTATTTCTTCTAAACTTAATAGAGTTCCCATCGATTGAATGGATAATAGTAATTAAATTTGTTTCAATTAAAGGTTATTTTGGAGTCAATTTAATATTGTTTAAAAAACCTTTATCAAAAATGATCAACTAGTTTCGGCATCACATTTTTTTCGAATTCCAACTCAATTTAATATTATCTGAATTTTAACCAGATGAACGCGATAAACAGCATGGCTGGTCAAAATGGAGTCTGAAATTTATCACAAATGAAAAAATTTGTTAGGACGCAGTAAATAAATTCTGGAATCAGAAATAATTGCAATCTATGGCTCCCAGGACATTGGGCAACCCCTCAGCAGTATATGCCATCCTTCATTGGTTGAGGGTGACAGTTAGTCCTAAGAGCAGTTAGGAAATGTCCCAGCACCCATGAGAATGTGGATTTAGATATTCAACTCACAGCCCCCTCAGTTCTCTGGAAACTGAAAAATGCAAAGAATGCATGATATTCCACTCACAACATCTGTGCCATCCCAGGTGTCACGAACGCACCCTACTTCAAGAGTGTGTGTCACGTAGTTGTGGTGGTGAAAGGGTTAAAGTTCACTATTTGTCTGCACTAGACCAGAAATAATGATAAAATCCCCCTTAACACCACCCACACTTAAGCATAATAATATAAGTATTACTTTTTTAATGCTGCTACCACCAAGACAATTTATAAATGGTGCCTTGGTGTAGGAAATTAGCTTTCCTTGAGATGTTTGTTTGTCACACACCAGTGTTCTAATAATCGAATCAGAGTGTATTGCAGCCAAAAGTGTATATTTATTCAAACATACACACTATCCTAAATAACACAAGTCAATGCACACATCTGGACCAATACGCAATGTATATTCACTTTTAGATAGTTTCCATTTTTGTTGTTAAAAGTATTAGTAAAGAAATTTCAACTGCAATTGGTTTTATATGTCTAATTTCAGTTACTAAGAAGGCGTACCCATAAGGTTGCCTGATGCAAGCAATGCAACCTCACACACCAGGAAAGCCAACATCTATGAGACAGGCAGGACAGGTCAGTGGCAGCAACCCCACGGTGGACGTAGCCCTGGGGGAGATGGAGTAGAAGAGAAAAGCCCCAAAGCAAGCGATGGCAAAAGGCCTTATCCACTCCCTCAGGCATCAAATGACAGCACACAGTCCGTAAGGGCAGCCACGCGACTCAGTGACATCCAGCCCTGGCCCCTTCCTAGCCGCAACCTGGGAATCACGGAGACAGCCACAAACAAGGGCGAAAACTCACCGTGGGACTACTACCTAACTGGAAGAACATTCTCAGCTCCATACCCATCCGTATGCATCACCAGGGGTCACCATGCGGGCAGCTGATCCAGACCAACGAGAAATCTTATGCATCAATGCCTGCAGCCCTCAGTGCAGGCATCAGCAGACCCCACAGGGACTGACCGGCTCTAATACACACAGAGCGTGCCGGGGTATACATTATGTGGACTCTACATATGTTTTAAGCTTTACAAGATTTAACAACGCATACTCACTGATTGCATACTTATTACCTAGACCTAGCTTAAATATCAATATACAGTTTAACTGCATAACATGTTTGAACAGCTAGCGTTTGATACCAGTATAATATGTGTCATCAACAGACTAGCCTATGCGCTGGTCATCATACCAAACTACAGTCTATACTCTTGGTAAATCAAATAGCTATATGTGCTTAGCTTGAACATTTTTGTATATCATTACTATATCATTTCTTGTTTTCCTCGTGTTTCTAACTTGCTATCACAAAAAAAAGTGAAACATCTCTTGACTACCCATACCAATTGTTTATGACTATCTAATATGTTGAACGAGTCATTGTTTATGCCTGTAATTTACTCTGCACTCAAAAATAAAGAATTAGTAACTATTTGAAATGTATGAATAAAGCCATACGTTATATTTGGCGGTAAACTATAAGTTACACAAAGAACAAAGAACGTTCTATATACATCATTAAATAAACGCGTTCAGAAATTTGAGCCTTCCTAATACACACATGGAGTCTGGCTTGCAATGCTGGTTCAAAGGTTAATATCAACAAACCTTAATGCATAATTATCTGGCAAGAACCATATGTGGCGATCCTTGGTATACAATGAAAGTCTGTAATACTAGCTACCTCTTGTGTCTGAAAGAAGTTTGAAATAAAATTAATTTCAACTAATTTAAAACTTATAATATTCAATATGTAAAGTTCATTAAATATATTGTATTTTCCCTTGTAATGCTTTTATATTATCAAAACCTCATAATAAAACTTATGTAATTTCCTTATTGGATTTTAACTTTGTTGTCAAATTTACATCTGTATTCAAAGTTTACCATTGAAGACTGTATGCAATTTACTCTTTTACACATGACAACTAAAGAAGAACAGTGGGGGGTTCAGCTGCCTGTATTACTTTTACACTGAGTCCAAGAAGGAGGGGGGGTCAAATATGGGCTGTCTGCCTAATTTCACAAGCTGTAGCGGACTGTGTTGTGCTACTCATCATTTTTATTGTTGGCTGTACCTACCCTTAATTGTTGCAGTATTTTACTCCATTTGCCACGGTCCGTTACACTTGTAGAAGAAACAAGTAACAAACTATCTGTTGTAGCATTCATCTGGTGGTTCGGTAAGAATCTACTTTGAACCATCTGAAAGTGTACCATTCGACATACGAACAAAATACCGAACAACCAGGCCACTCCGGAGAGGAGCGTGGCACTAATAAAACTCCCATATTGTTATTCACACTACCTTAATTGACAATCACATGAACGTAGTGTGTATTCCCTGGGTGGCCGCGTGCGGCATACGAATACGTGGCGGGGGCCATATTTCCATACAAACTCACCAGCGGTGTTTGGTTGTCGAGTGCCTGGAACCCAAATCGGACACTTGACCACGCGAACACAGCAGAGACCTCCTCTGGTGAAAGTGACATCGCCACTGGGTTCTGGAGGGGCCTGTTTGCTCGTCTTTTGCCCCAAGATTATGGCCCTTTAAAACTGGGTGGTCGCCGTTCGTACAGACGAACACGTGGCGGTGGCCATCTTTATTTAGCCAGCGGTGTGTGCAGTCAGATCTATGGAACTAAAATCAGCTACCCATTTGCACGAACACTGCTGACCCTTACCTTCTCCTCCACTTAGCCGCTGAAAACTAAGTCCCTAAGCTATAGACTAAGCTATTTGCATGAACGGTACCCCATTCGTGCATGCGAATGGGACTTAGTAATTTTTCT